ATTAGAAGGTGTTTTTTTTTCCCCTACATTTAATTAATATTTTCTTTTCTCCTAAATGTTTGGAACTTAAAAGCATACTTGATAAAATAATAATCACATTACGGGCTGATTAAGACATGAATATAAAGAAAAATAGCACTTTTGCTTTCTTATTCTAGCAATACCTGCTTTTCCATATAAGGCCCTCCTGTTTTTATTTATCTGAATGGATTAGTTTCTGTAACTAAGGAAGGTCAGATCTACAAGAATAATAATCTAAGACTAATCTGTGTCAGAATTTAATAAGATTCAGTAGAAAATGAGACATAGATTAAAAAAATAAACAATGAATCTTACACGATAAAAGTTGAATTGGCATAAGGAGTAGCGTAGAGTTTTGGATTAGACTGTGTAGGTTTATCCCCTGACCCTGCCTCTTGCTTGCATTTGACCTTGGTCAAACGAATTCACCTTTCTAAGTCTCAACCTCTTCATCTGTAAAATGAGTTTGATAATAGGATCTCTCATAAGAGTGTAAGAAGTATTAATGAACCTCATATGAATATTATAAATGTGTATAACATATAACACTCAAGAAGTATTAACTATTATGATCATTATTATAAATAATAGAAGAAATACTAGGTGCTGAGGAAGAGGCGGAAATGATTCGTTTTAACCATTTTATTTAGAGGAAGAAAATCTAATTCTGGCTGAGGGATAAGGAGGCTTTTTATAGAAAAGGTGACACATGAACTGGACCAGACATAGAAAGGGAAGAGTATTCCAGGCAGAGGATACACCACAAAAATCATGGTATGGAAGGGAAGGTCTTGTCTTTAAAACACTTAGAATAGAAATTGACAAAAAAACAGGAAGAAATGAAATGAGAGTTGATAAGGAAAGTTGTTTAGGAAAGAAAGAAAATGAGAAAGCAAAATCATATTGGAAATGAAAACTAAATTACAAGTTGCCCAAGGAAGAATATAGTCACACAAAAAGGCACTGAAGAAAATCAGAAAAATAACCAGGGAAATGAGAATGAAACAAAGAAATAAAGGAGTTTCTTGAAGTAAATCAAAACAACTGAAAAACATTCCTATTTAGAACTATAATCCAAGAAAACTTCCCAGAAATAAAAGATGGACTGAATTATTATTGTGTACTGGGGAAGTTTGATCTGGAAAGATCAACTTTAGGACATATCCAGTAAAACTATTAGACTTTAAAGATGGAGAAAAAAATGCACAGTGCCTCCAAGTAAAAAGATCAAATAATTTACAATGGCCAGTCTTCTCAACACAACATACCAAGTAAGGCAATAGTTGAATAACATTTTCAAGAAGCTAAAGAAAGTGTAAACCAAGGATATTGTATACAGCTAAGCTGACATTCAGATATCAAGGCCACAGAAATACAGTGTGGAATCCTGTACACACACATGTAGTATTCCTGAGGACTTCAGGACAGGATGAGTTTCACCAGACCCAAAATCTCTGGAATAAATTTGTCAAGAGTTTCCCAACATTAAGCACTTCATATATGTTATTTTATAGCTTAGACTAAAATGAGAGTGAGTTCACGGGTAAAAGAATACTTAAAAACAATATATATCTGGCACAAAGCAAAAGGTGCAATTTATTTTTAAAAAATGAGAGGATAGGGAAAAATAGAATATGATTGCTCTGTAAGTAAAGGGTAGTAGTCAATGAATATCATATAAAACTGACATCAAATAGTAAAAAGATTAGGTAAAAATAGAGAGGATTTCATTATAAAAAGTAATAATAAAAATGTAACCTATAGAATGAAAACACAGACCTCCCTAAATAGAAAAGTAGTATGTTTTAAAAAGCAAATGGGATACGTGATGAAAAGAAATGCAGTAAATATAATGTACTCAGTAATTTTAACAAAGACAATGTGACAGAATTGAGACTGAACATAACAGTCATCTTAATTAACATGAATAAGATGAACTCACCTATTAAAAGAAAAGGTTTTATTAGAAAATATAGTTTACCAAAACTGACCTCCGTAGAGATACAAAGCTCAATAGATGCATTTCCATAGAAGAAATCAAGTTATCTATAAACTACCCTAAAGAAAGGGTCCAGGCCAGATGGTTTCACAGGAGAAATTAACCAATCAATCCCAACCTACAGAAATGGCTTCAGAGTATAAAAAAAATGAAAGAAAATTTCCAAATTCTTTTCTTGAAGCAAGTATAACTTTTGATGCCTACACCTGATAAAAACAGCACAAAAAATACAATGCAATTAGACTAGAAAAGCAACTAGGGGCATATGAATTAGAAAAGAAAAAAGCATTTTGCAGATGACATAATATTAATAGTAATTCAGGAAACCCTAGAGAATCAATGGTAAAGCTAACGCAATGAAAAATTCACAAGCTAGCAAGATATAAAATTAATATGCAAAACTCAATTGCATCCATACACACAAATAACTTGGAGCTAACAGCAATCTGACACTAATGGAAACTGACTCACATTTATGGTCACTTGATATTTGAAAAAACTTCACAGACAATTCAGTGGGGAAAGGTGCTTGTTACACTACGTGATTCTAGAACAAAGGAATGTTTATGTGAGAAAAGAATGACTCTCAACCCCTATCTCATATCACACTCAAAAACCAACTCTGAATGGATTGCAGAGATAAACATAGAACCAAAACTATTAGATTCTAGCAGGAACTTTTGTGACCTTGGGTTAAGCAAAGTTATCAAACTATATTCCTAAAATTAGTAAATTTTACTAGATGTAAATTCTACCTCAACAAAGCTATTTAAAAGAACGATGCCAATACAGTTTCTCACCCATCAGATTAGCAAACATTCAAAAGCTTGATATTGCTTTGTTGCTGTTTGAAAACAGGCATTTTTTTTTTTTAGCTGAGTCATCCTGCCACCTGTTGGCAGCTCAGCGGCAACTCAGCTCAGGCTGGGCATCGAACTGCTGTTGCTCAGAGCTCGCACTCTTGCGCAAGCTCTTAACCAACTGAGTCACTCGGCCGGCCCGAAAACAGGCATTCTCATAGATTGCTAGCAGTAACGCAAAGTGGTACATCCCAATGAAGGGAAACGGCTTTTCTGCATATGCAGGTACCCTTCAACCTGGCAATTTCACTTCTAGGACTTTACCCTAAAGATATACCTCCAATAATATTAAAATGCACATGCACAATATTTATTGCAGTGTTGCTTATAATTAGAAAATATTGGAAACTGCCTTAATCTCTAAGCAGAGGCGGTTGATTGAATAAACTATAGTATATACATGTAATGGAGAGCTATGCCGTCTCAGGAAAGAGTAAGGAATATCTCTTTTAAGTAACATGGAGTGATTTCCAGGAAGTATTATCCAGTTAAAAAAGTAAAGTACAAAACAGAATATATAATATGCTATTTTTTATAAACAAGAGAAATTAAAATATACATCTGTTTATCTTTACAAAAGAAATCAAAGGCAGGATAAGCTACACAACGATGAAATTCATTCTCTACGACATGGATGGACACAGATGGGTAAGATACAGGAGGGGGTGACAGACACCTGTCTGAAAATACCTTTTGCTGTATTTTTTACCTTTGGGTGCATGTCTGATTTGAGTTGGTTTTTTTTCTTAATGCCAATGCTTGTTTGAGGATATTTAACTGATTTTACAGTGTTTGTGTTACAGTTTTCATCAGCTTTGTGGGTGAACTGTTTTGAAGAGTTCTCATCAGGAGGAAAGCTTTAATTCATGCTGTCTGATTTTTGCAGTTGTTTTGTAATGATGGGGACAGATTTTTTTTTTCCTATTCTTTTTTCTTTCGTAGAACGAGTTCTCAGTTCAACAGCACCCTCTTCTGTGCGATTTCTACTACGGATCATGTTGTTGTGGGTTGTGGTGGGGGGTACGTGGAGGAGGTTTGGTAAACCTTGTTTCCCTTTCATTTCTGCCAGGTCCTTACTTTTCCCGTCTTACGGCCTTCTGGCCTTCTTTCTCTTCATTTCCTAATCTCCAAGGGATTCCACCTCTTCTATATTCATTAAGCCTCCCACTTCTGGTTGTACACACTTTCTCCAGTCCTGAGAGACCCCAAGTCCTGACCTATGTTAAGTATTCTGGTATGAATTGTTGCATTTTCGTTCTCTGGGGGCAACTTTATTTGTACTCAGTCTAACTGCTGTTTCTCCCTGTTCTTTTTCAGTTTTTAAGCCTTATCTCCCCCGCTCTCTGTACCCCAGGTTTCTAGTGGCAGGCAAGCTGCAAGAATTTGTTGGATATTTTCCTCTATTTATATGTACTTTGAAGGTTGTGGTGTTCTCTGTCGCATAGTCATATTGAAGGTATGGGTCCTGAATGGTTTTATTTGCTGTCTATTTTATGTTTCCCGGGGTAATCATGTTGGGAAGATTCAAAATCAGGCGATTGGCACTTATCTCTAACAATGTTCTCTAAATTTTCTACTTGTATTATTCTTTTACTTGTTTGTTATTTGTGTATCTATTTCATAATGTCATTGTATTTGTTTTGTTGTAGGCTACCTAAAGTTCTTTGAAGAATGATGCAAAGTGAAAATAATTTTTTTTACTTTTTATTATTAAAAAACAAAAGTAAAAAATGTTCTGCCTTGGAGGGTTATTTATTTGCTTGCTTTGTTCTTATCTCTAATAATATGAGGTATGAGTAACAGAAGAAAAGGAAACGGAAAAATAAAAGAGAGAGGAATAAAGAATAGGAAAGCAATGAAAATGATCATTTCAGTGCACAGAGATCTGTTTTGAAAGTAATTTCAAAGAGAAATTTTAACATTTATTTGAGCAATAGTAGCTATATTTCAGGACAGGTACAGCCTCTGCAAGTGATTGTTTTTAAGATTTATACTATTTTATACTATATAACTCATATCTATAAGTTCTAGGATATTATATAGCATAATTACTTTATAACAGTATCTTATATATTTAATCATACACACACAAAACACATATATACAACACATGCACTTACTTGTTTCACATTCTGGAGTTCTTCTGTCAATAGTTTCCTTTGCCTTTCTGATTCAAATAATTTTTCCTATATTTAAAAACCACTGAATTAATAACTTGTTATGAAGGTATCAATGAGTATCATTTTAGTGCTTTGTTTCAAAGCTTATAAATTCCCCAAACATCCAATTGCTACAGTCTGAAAATGTGGTTCCTGGTCCCTTTTCAGGCTTTATACATACCATTTAAAAGTAATCAGTTATTTACAGTATAATTGTGATGTAAATGTATTTGTTATCTTAATTAGCCATATTGTCAAGTCTCAAAAATCCAAGGTTCAAAATAAGTCAATCAGGATCAAAATGTGTAAATATTAAATAAATTTTGGGTAATAGGTATCACTGCCAAAAAGCTTCCAAATCGAAGAGCATTATTATTTCAATTTAGAAGTCCCTCTTACTATACGAAAGAGGACATATGAGACTGAATTGACTAACATTTTCCTAATTTAGCTTATCCTTGGAAGTTCATACATAAAAATGAAGCTATGACTGATATAACCAAAATATGGAATAATAGTTATTAAGGGAGAATACTAATATTATGCATGCCAATCAAATATTATCATCTTTGAACTTAACATTAAGCATATATCCTAAAATGTTGACTTTTAAGTATATCATAAATAAATCCACATTTTATTGATCAAATCAGAAATATTAAGAATAATTTAAGACCCATTTTATTATAAACTTGAACAGAGGAATTGCTTAAAGATTAAACTGAGTGGTAAATATTCATGGCAACACGTCAATGTTTATACGGAACAATCTGCTTTACAGTGTATTTCAGCTCACTCTTGTCTAAGAGATGAAATGAAGGTATATGAAGATTAATAATATAGCAACCTAATGAATCTGCCACAGACCAGGAGCCAAGAAACTGCTGGCTCCCGTGCTTTCATTCTCTGGCAAGTCACCTTCACTCCTCGTGTCCTAGTTTTTTGCATTTGTAAATGGAAAATATATCTATTTTCATTCAGCTCTGCAAAGCAGTAGCAATGTGACTCTGCAGAAAGGCTTTAAGTTAAATAAAGCTCACAGCGCTTTTAAAAATCATCCTCGCAAAATAAAAATTAGACATTAGCATCAAATTATCTTGGTTTCATTTTTATTTGTACCTTTAATTACACATAAAGGTTAGATATGTCACGAGATAATGAGAAGTAATAAGAGACCATCTAAACACTCTATGAACTTCATTTAACAACCTCTATTTTTTTGTGTGTATAGTACAAGTAGGAAAACTGAAAGTATAAATGTTACCTCAAATGAAATATTTATTACTTTGTTCACTCCTTTACATAGCTAAACAAGCTCAGATTTTGTCACATTAGAATATGCTCAGATGCATTTCATAAACTTTAAATGTGAATTGAACACTGATTTATTGAACAGCTACTCAGGGAAGCCTTGTTTAAATGTTACCTGAATACAGTTTTGAATTACAATTCTAATAATTCGATATTCAAATAAAAAAAAATATATCATTAAATTTAACAATGATAAAATTAAGGAAATGAAAAAGATCTGAGAACCTCTGAAAACTCTGATGAACCATAAGATTTAATGGTTTATGCAGAGATAAATTATATAACAATGCCATTTTACCAAAGTAACCAACATTGGAGGTTTCTAAGAGGATGTGAGGAAAACATTGTCAATTTATTTTCAAAACTAAATTTATAATTCTTAATTGTTATACCAAAAAATGTAGAAAGATAGGGATTTCAAAGTTGTAAAAAGAAGTATATAAAATATTCCTTTAGTAATGGAATGATGCTAATGTACATTTGGAAGAAACACGAATTGGTAAAGCTTTTTCAAAGGAAATTAGGAATTATATATAAAATTTTATTTGTCCGTATCCTGTGATAAAACAATTCCACTTTGAAAAATTTATTCAATTTGTATTTTTACAATTATACAATTGTGCAAAGATACATCTACAAAACTATTTATGATGGAATTATTTTTAATAATTGAAGAATGATAAATATTCATCATTAAGGAACTGGCTAAATAACCTAGGACAGAACCATTTGATGATAGGAGAGCCATTAAGAAATATTTGACAGATCTGTGTATATTAACCTGAAAAGTAGTCCAAGATATAAAAAAAGAAGGAAAGAAGGCTAGTTGTAAAAAAGTGTGCAATGTATGAAGTGATTTTTGTAAAAGTTAACACATATAGTTAAAATATATTATATATATATACATATATATACATATATATGTATATATATACACACACAAGTATATATACATACATACATACACACATACACACACGCACACACACACACTTATTTTTTTAAAAAAACATGGTTAGCTATCTAGAGAAAGTCTCCAAAAGGATAAACATGATGTGTTTAACAATGGCTTCCTCTAGAGGTTGGAATTTAGAAACTAAGGTAGCAAGGAAATTTCTTTCTTGTTATGGGTATATAGAATTTGCTTTAATAAAAATTAAACAATAGAATTTCATTTATTTATGAAAACAATTAAAAATAATTAAAAAATATATTCCTATGTTGCATTAATGGTAAATCAAGTAAGTTATGTTGCTTTTCTTGAAGATTTGGAAAATATAATGGCTTTCTGTAAAAATTAGGATATAGTTCAAATTTAATGTTCTACTAAACACAGAATGAAAATCTATAAAGAGAATCAAAGTCTTAAAGTATATTTGGGATTACTGTGTGTTTTTTCTTCCCTTAAATCATGCTGCCTTAATTCCAAATTACGTTCACAAACTAAGGTGTCTCTGAGGCATGCCCGTGAACATGGGAGACAATGTATTTCCCAATGAACATCTGAGGGTTCGAATTTGTCATGGCTTGCTTTGTTGGCTCCTCATCCTTGCTACCAATGTGATGAAAAAAAAAACAAAAAGGTGAGAAGTAACCACATCAGAAGGTATGAGTAAAAACCAACAATCACACTGAATCTTACATGGATATTGTTAAATATAAATAAAAAATGTATGAACTAAAAAATTAACTCTATAAAGGTTCATTGAAGAAACAGATATCAAATTATTGCATATTAATATTCAATATTGATTTGGTATTAACATTAAGCTATTTAATATTAATATTCTTTAATTAAAAATAACACTAAGCCCCAGTAATTCAGGGCTCAACACTAGGTAATTTTCTTATTTTTCTTTTTCTAAAGAAAATATAAGGAAGCTAAACTGGAGATTACCTTCAGTGTATTCACTTCTTCCAAGGCGTCATTTCTGTCACGCTTAAGCCTTTCCATTTCATCTGCTTCTAAGGAATCACAGGGAAGAAGCTGTCAACATAAAAATATAAGATAAAAATTATGCATTAGATGCTAATTATGAGAACTAACATGAAAATTCTTTTTGATGAGGCTTGGGCTTTTTCATTCCAAAATAAAATTCAGTTTCTTACTTTGGAGCCATTTGATTAAAGAGATTATTAAAGTAATTGGGCATAACTTCATTAATTTATGCTTAACCTTACATTGATGCTACTTAGTATTTAGATGATAAAAAGGTATACATACCGTTATCGTTATGATTCTTATTTAAGAATATAATTTTCCTTAAAAGTCCAAACTCCAAGAGTGTGTTTATAAAGTTAAAAAGACTTTGTGAGTTATCAACATAAGCGACTCCCTAAAGACATCCACTCCAAGTACATGGTCTCTGAGGCTAATAACACACTGGTCATTATCAACAAAGATAGTTTATGTAAAACACAGTAAAGTATATTAATTGATTTTGTGTCTTGTTTTAACAAAATGTAACGTAACCACCAAGTGGCTTAAAACTATTCCTGCACAGAAACTGGGTCTGGAAGATATATTAATATTTCATGCACAAGTGAATAACAACAACAAAAAATGGCAGACCTGACAATTTCTCTTACTTGTAATGATCTCTTTGACAGCTAATTGCAAGGTAAAACATAATGACAATCTTATCACAGACAAAAATCCAAGTCTAAATACAGCCATCTCCTATGTAGAAGTTATAACAGAACTAAAAATAAAGTACAGAAAATATAATTTAAAGGATTAAGTAGAGGAGTGATTGAACGCAAGTAGAAAAATACAAATAATATCAACCATTTATTGGGAACTTACTATGTGCAGATATGTTGATAGGGACTATATTTACATTCAATATTAAATCCTTACCATAACCTTGTCTGCATTTACAGGTGAGGAAATGGGCTCAAAAGGTTAGTAACTTGCCTAAGGTGTCACACCTAATAAATGGCCATTCCAAGATTCCCACAGACAGCTGCCATTGGTCTGTGAATTTTACTAACTAGTCAACAAAAAATCATGGTGGAACGGAGATGATCAACTCAGATTTGCTTTCCAAGTCCTAGAATAGCAGAGGTAGGGGGGATTCTTCAAGTTTGGGAAAGAAATATTTTTCCTAAACATTATTATTTCTTTTGTCCTGGCCCATTTGCTTTGTGTATCTGTGGCCATTATCTACATGCTAATGAAATTTTTTAACATCTCAAAAGGAAATATAATTTCACAACTTGTATTTCCTCAAGGTACCTGACCATACTATACCCCCTTCTTTATTTATTATTCTATATTTGGACTCTCCTTTGTCCCCTACCTAGACTACCCACCAGCAGTCTCATTCCCTTCCAAGATAACCAACACTATTATACGATTATTATTTCTAAAATATCAACTTGATCATGTCATTATTCCCCCTAGTGGCTCCTCACTGACTATTAGTCAAGTATAAACTTCTAAGTTTAAGATTTACCCTTTCAGGCCTAACTTCCTTCACTGACCTACACGTACCTGATTATCGTTTTCAAAAAGTACATTATTCTCTGCTTACCAGTACTATATATGTGTGTGTATGTCTGACATACGATGTCCGACAAGTTCGTGAACTTGTTGCAACAATGTCGCTAACCTTTTTCATATTCATTATGAATTTGTACCAACTGGAAAAAAAGTTAGCCAAGTTTATTTGGAAGTGCTGAAAAGGCTGCGTGAAAAAGGGAGACAACCTGAACTTTTCGCCAACAATTCATGGCTCTTGCATCACGACAATGCACCAGCTCACCCGGCACTGTTTCTGTGAGGGAGTTTTTAGCCAGTAAACAAATAACTGTATTGGAACACCCTCCCTACTCACCTGATCTGGCCCCCAATGACTTTCTTTACCCAAAGATAGAGAAAATATTGAAAATAAGACATTATGATGACATTCAAAATTGCTTTGAAGGATGGAATAGGTGCTGGAGTCGGTATGTAGCACTTTTTCTAGGATGAGTTCGCGAACTTCATTGTCAGACCTCGTATAGTGATAGTAAGCAGAGAATATATATTATATATATAAACATATATATATATTTGTTGTTCATGCTAGTACTCATCACTCTTTGTTCACCTCTTGAGCAAATAAAATCCTATTTATCTCTCAAAACTTACTCAAATGCCAACTCTGTTATGAATCTTCTCTGAATGTTCTAAGCTCTCTTCTTCTTATGGCATTATCACACAATGCATTTTTAAATTATAATTATTTGTGTACATGACTTTCCTTGCACTATCCCCTAAGTTGCTGGAGGGATAGGCCTGAGTTTCATTTATCACAATAAGTGCCAGCACACCTAACACAATGCCATGTACATTATAGTTCTTCAATAACTGTTCAATGTGTTACAGATGAGTACATAGCAAAGTGGCTATAAAGGATTTACCGCTGCACATAGTGAAGAATACCATTTACGAGTGTATAATTACCGAGTATGAGTGAAACATTGCTCATTCTTATCACATACAGTGCACTTTGATATTTTCCATTCTATTCTAGTTCACTTGTTAAAATGGTGGTTGCAATCCACTAACCTGATTTAGGTACTTAAAGTGAAAAGTTTACACGGGGGAATTTCCGTGTGTTCTCTCTGTGATTTTACAATAATCCATTTACGTAACTTGATTAGTGTGGTAAACCCATCACACTACAGTGACCCACAGGCTGCTGTTCTAAGTTTAGAATGCTGCTAACTGTAGGATCCAGCCTTCCCTCTGCTGTGGGTAACCTTGTGCCGGCAGCAGGTATAGCACTGTGTACCTTTTTTATCGAGCCATGGTGATTAGAATCACTGTAAGAGAGTTATATTTTGGTTCTAAATGCCATATTATTCCAAACCTCAGAGTTTTTTCATCGACTAAACAAAAGTAGAACTGACGTATACTGATTCAGCAATCCTTCCTTACTGAAAGACAGCATCTGAAGAAATCTTATGAGTCAGACAAAAGGAAGCTAGTTACACAACAATGCATACTGTACGACTCTATTTATTATGCAGTTCAAGAACAGGCAAAAGTAATCTCTGCTGATAGAAGTCACAAGAGTGGCTCCCCGGCAAAGGTGGGGGCAGCAGCTGCCTGGGAAGTCAGCAGGAAGGAGCGTTTTGAGTAGTGAGTACACGGGAGATACTGACCGAAATTCATCAAGCTGTACACTTGAGGTTTCTGTATTTTACAATTTGTCCAATATGCTTCAGTAAAAATATTTATATAAAATAAAGGAAAAGACAAGCCAAAAAAAGGGGGAAACATATGAGTAAAAACCAAGCATCCCTAACGGATTATAAAATCTGACTCTGGTTTGTGATGCGATGGTTGACAGGGTAACCATCGTGGAAGGCCCCCACCTTTACAGACTGTCAGCATTATCAACCACAGGTCAACTGATAAACTTCAGATGAGGCATTATACTGTTCATCAACTCAAAAAAATAAAATTGGCACTTATACCATAAAATAATGAGATATTTTTTATTCATTTCTGGTGAGCTGCTTGACAAGTAGTGATTTTTATGGTATTTTCCAAATTGTGGTACATGTCCCATTAGTGACCAAATATTTAACGAAATAGAACTGAATATTAAATAAGAATGTGATGACGTAGAAAAGGTAAGTAATGCTTGGACACTGGTTTCAATTCTATATGTGAGAGTGGCAAAGTAAAATTGTGGATTCAAGTGAAAAAAAAAGGAAAGCCAACATTTTATGGGGATATCTTCTGTGTGCTGAAAAGCACAACACAACAAAGGAAATCTTATAAATTAATTTCATAATTATAGTCCAACATTTTGATCTGAAGCTACAAGCAACACATTACTGGCACGCAGAGGACCTTGCACAATTACCATCAGCACTGTGCTTTTGCTATCAGAGTATCACAGATTGAATACATTCTTATCTGCCCTAACATCACATTGGTAAGAAGGAAGTAAATTGCTAATTTGGAACACGAGTACTTGTTTGCAGCGGCTAGGAAAGCTCTGCAAGCTCATACAAAGCACTGTGAATTCCCTACTTCACTTACATTGTAAGCCACCCTTTGCTCAGCGAAAGTGGGTATGGCAGCTCTGAGAACTGGTGGCAGTAAGACAACAATGCTCTTTCGTCAGCATTAGGCAGATAAACACATAACACCTGAATCAGCAGAAGAAAAACTGCACTCTTACAGCTTCAGTTTTCCTACCCTAAATGCTACAGAATCGGTTCTGAAAAATCAGTGTCTCAATTCTGGGTAAACTGGGTGATCTCCTGGGAGTTTCCAAATAACTAGGTCTTGGGGAACTCTCCTTCTCAACATCAGGAACTCTCATATACTGCTGGTGGGGATGCAAAATGGTACCGCCACTTCGGGAGACAGTTTGGCAGTTTCTCACAAAACTAAACATCCTCTTATCATGTGATCCAGCAGATGCACTTCTTGGTATTTACCCAAAGGAGTAGAAAACTATGTCCACAAAAAAACCTGCACAGGGATGTTTATAGCAGCTTTATCCATAACTGCCAAAGCTTGGAAGCAACCAGGATGTCTTTCAGTAGGTGAATGGGTAAATAATCTGTGGTACATCCACATGGAATATTAACCAGTGCTAGAAAGACATAAAAAGACATGGAAGAACCTTATATGCAGATTACTAAGTGAAGAAAAAGGTACTACATACTGTATCATTCCAACTATATGACATTCTGGAAAGCGCAAAACAATGGGTACAATAAAAGGATCAGTAGTTGCAGGGGGTTGGGGGTGGGGGTGTGCAGACATGAATAGATGAAGCATAGGGGATTTTTTTTTAAGAGATTTTATTGGGGAATTAGGGGAAAGGGGAACAGACAAGTTGCTGTCGTTTTGTTCTTTGGTCTAGTTGTGGAGGACGTTGCTTCACTGGCCCATGTTGGTATTATCACTGCGCTCTTCCCGGGTGAGGCAGTCGCTTGCCGGCCATTGGACAGTGGCTTACGACAGCTCATGCTGGCTGCCAGCCACTCACACCAGCTGCCAGCCACTTTGAGCTGGCCCTCATGTGGGATCCGAACCAGGGCCCTGCTGCTCAGAGCTGGCATCCCAAGCCAACTCTTAACCAATGTGCCACTCAGCCAGCCCTGCACAGGGGATTTTTAGAGCAGTGAAATGCTCTGATACCACAATGATCGACACATTTGCTCAAACCCACAGAGAAGGTGCACCAAGAGTGAGCCATACTGTAAACTATGGGCTTCAGGTGATTCCTTCTCTCGCTGTAGATTCATCAGTTGTAACAAATGTACCCCTAAAAGTGCAGGATGCTGATAATCGGGAGACTTTATATGTGGGGGGGCAGGGGACATATGGGAAATCTCAGTATCTTCCCCTCAATTTTGCTCTGGACCGAAAACTGCTCTATCAAATAAAATTTTAATTTAAAAAAAAGATACCATTTATTATAATGGCAAAGGAAGTATAAGGTAAATAGAAATAAACCTAACACAAGATTAATAAAGCCTGTATGAAAAAATGTATCAAAAGTGTTTCATATGTCATTAAAGAAGATATAAATAAATAAAATGAAACATGTTCACAGATAGGATGATTTAAATTTATAAAGGTGTTGATTCTTCCCAAAATAATCTATAAATTCAATATAGCAAGATTTTTTGCTAGTACTTAGAAGGACAAGATAAGAGCAAAGATTAGCCAAAGCAATACTTAAAAATGAAGAGCAAGATGGAACACTGTGTCTTATCAGATATTAAGACTTATGTAGCCAAATAAAGCAGCAGACGAGAGTCTAGAAATGCCCATGCAAATATGGAAATCTTATGAATGACTGAGCTGGATTGCAAATAATCCTTCCATTAAATAAAATATAAATTTATATTTTAAAAATTACCTTTATTTTTTTTTTGGTTGTGTACCAATAAGTATAATTGCTATTCAATTTTTACAAGAAAAACTTACTTAATATGTAAGCACTCATAAACATAGTAAATTAAAACAAATACATTTTAACTTATCTAAATTTTTTTTTGCAGCAAAATGATATTGATCAATGAAAGACCTTGAAATTATAATGTATTGGATAACAGTCTAGGGTGCTATTGAATAGAAACAAGAGTTAACGGAGAAAAAAGAAAGGTGATACATTTCTGATAATAATAATTTATACATAAGTTTTCTTTTAAATAAATGATTGTGAATATCAAAAACTATAGTATTTAGATCCCATTAGATATATTTTTAAAAGTTATATAACAGTTTTCTTTAAAAGAGAAAAATTATAATCACTGGAAACCAAACCAAAACACCAACCAAAATAAAGGTAATATAGCTACACGATTAGACTAAGTAAACTTTAAGACAAGGAACATTTTAGAGATAAAGAAATTCAATATCTTGTCAGGATATAACAATTCTAAAATTGCATACACCTAATAATACAGCCTCACATTATGTAAAGCAAATATTAGCAGAACTAAATGAGGGAAATTTTACAAAACCTTTCTCTTAATAACTGACAGTAGAAGATGACAGAAAAACGACTAAGGAAATAGACAATTTCAAGAAAATAAAAAAATTTGAACCACATGATTAACAACCTTGACCCAACTGACACACGGGGAGCACTGTATTCAACAAGTGCAGAATATGTGGTTTTCAAAAGATGGAAAACATTTAATAAAATTGACTATATGCTGGCTCTATAGTCAAAGAATCAATACCATACAGAATATGTCCCTAACCTCAGTGAAATTAAACTAGAAATCAGTAACCAAAAGGGAACTATATAACTAGAAAATGTTTAAAAGAGTTCAAACTTAGGATCCAAGAAGCAACCACAATGAATATTAAAGTGGCATCATACAAAATAACCATTCAAAAATTACTATCTTGGGGCCGGCCGAATGGCTCAGTTGGTTAAGAGTTAGCTTAATAGTGCGAGCTCTGAGCAATAGGACCGATGGTTCGATTCCCACATGGGCCAGTGACGCTGCGACCGAGCTGAGCTGCTGTTGAGCTGCCAACAGGTGGCAGGATGGCTCAGCTGGTGTAACAACAAGATTGCCTGTTTTATGGTGGGCTATGCCACCCGCAACTAAGACTGAACTCAGCACCTTGAGCATAGAGGCCAAGAGCTGCTGAGAGGCAGCCAGATGGCAACTGGAGCCCTCCACAACGAAGACTGAAGAACAACAACTTGGCTGGTCCAATTCCCCAACACTGTTCCCCTCCCCCAATTCCCCAATTAAAAAAAAATTAGTATCTTTACTAATCATCGATTAGAAAATATAATGGTAAAATAAAATCCCATTTCTAATTGCATCAAAAACTATAGCATATCTATTCAGACCTAACAAGAAATATTCAAGACATACATGAAGCAAGTTATAATTTTCTTTCCAAAACATAAATGATGGAGAAACAAACCATGTTCATTATCTCCCAAACCATCCTCTAAAACCAATGCAATTCCGATTAAAAAAAAAAAAAGCTCCTATTTAATTTTATTACCATGGCAAAATGACTTCAAAGGTCAGATAGAAAATCAAAACTAAGAAGTTAAAAAAAATTAAGGACTTAACCTACTAGATGACAATGAGCCTAGAACTATAAAGCTAGCATAATTAAAATCATAATGTATTGGCATGGAGCAATGGGTCAACGGAACAGAGTTTTGAATCTAGAAACAGATCTGTGTATCTAGATAGAAATATACTACATGATCAAGTTTGTATTTCAAATTTGTGGCATAAGTGGAAAAGAATGGTTATTAAATAAATGATGGAGGGAAAAGCAGCAAGTGGTTATCCACTTGGGGCCCTACCTCATGCACAGACAAGAATTTTAAATGAATTAAATATATAAAGTATACATAATATAAATTGGGAAAAACCTTCCTTGATATCAAAAATCCATAACGAAAAGGACTGAAAGATTTGACAGTACAAATGTCAAAGTTCTGTAGAACAAATGACTTATGAAGTTAATAGACTTCATAATTCCATTTACATAAAGCACAAAAACAGGCAAAACCAATCTATGTTGTTCGAAGGCAAAAGAGTAATTGCGGTGATTGGGGGAGAGGGTGAGGAAAGAGCATTAGTAACTGGAAAGAAATATGGGCGTAAGAGAGCATCGGGGGCCTGGAAATGTATTTCTTCAATGTTGTGTCTCTTCGTCTGGATGCTGATTACTGGGGGATACACATATGACATGGGCACTTTTCTGTGGTCAATTTAGGGATGGGGGTAGCATGAGGGAACAGTGACAGAAGAGAATAGAGGAGATCAAGATGGAATTCTGCTTTTGGATTTAAATTAATCTATATCGTATATGTTTAACCAAAAAGCATGCATTATTTGCACAATTTTAAAAAGTGAAAAATGAAAAAAGCCCACATATATGACACATAACATTCAAGGCTTATGATTTAAGTACAATCGAGACCGTTCTGTTGGGCATACTCTACCTGTGAATCTAGTATGCTGGAAATTTCCTGGGCACCAACATTTACTTCATCCAACTGCAAGCAAAACAGGTTTCTGGCAACTCGGACAAAATCTAAAATGGAACACATTGTTTTCAGGAAGAACATAGCGTTAACCTCATCTAAATAAATCTCATCTTTTTCTAGATGAAATTGAAGCTATGTGTTATAACTAATGCTTAAAATTTAACTTCTTTAAACAAATTACCTTAAAATAGTATTCACTCCAGTGACAGATAAATAGAAGTTCAAATAAAAAAATTAAGAGATAGTACACCTGATCTAGTCATCTATCTACCCTCAAATCTTTTTATTTTGGCCACTATATTTTTAATTTCCAAGGATTCTTTTAATGTTCTCTGATTGTTCCTATTTTAGAATATCTTACTCTTTTATTTTATGGACGCCTTACCTCTGCTAATCTTTTTAAAGATGTTAATTCTGGTTTATCAGAAGTTCTCTTCTACTCTTGCAATATTTCCCTTTTTCTGAGTTCCGTGTGTGTGTGTGTGTGTGTGTGTATTTTGGGGCTCTATATTTTATATTGGGGGATGTCGTCAAATGTCTGTTGACCCTGGGTCATGAGTTCATATTTAAGAAGAATTAGGCACCAAAATGCTGATTGGAAATCTTGTGTGCATAACTTGCCTTGTCAACTGATGGGTTTCACTACTGAGCTAATATTTTTGTGCAGCTTCTTCAGAGAGCTCACAATCTCTTGTCTAAAGAGTATAAACACGGCTGCATATTTCACTGAGCCATCTGGGTGTGTGATGTGAGCGATAACGCACCACATATGCCCCCAAGTCCCTGGGCTGCTGGCAAGTATACGTCCAAACCTATATTCTCGAGAGAATACACTTATTTTCTCGCTGGAGAGCTCGAGAGGGGGCAGGAAACAGCATATATAATTGCTCCTTATACAGATGTCTAACAATCCTGTTCTAAATGCCCTGCCCACACCTAGACGTCAGAGGTGCCTGACACTTTGAATTCCTAAGCCTTTTCAGGGACAATTAGGCTTGTTCTCCATTGTGATTCCCTTCTCTCTTCAGACACTT